TATATATATATATATATATATAATCTTAAAAAGAATTATAGACCATTTCATTTGATAGATGTCATTGTATAAGAGAGATATCTATTTATAACATATTTAATTTATACACCATTATACATATGAGTGAGAGAGAGTTATTTATAAAGTACGTAATTTACATTATATATTATACATATGAGAGAGAGAGAGAGCGCTATTTATAAATTATGAAGTGTGTAATTTACTTTATACATATACATCATTATACACCATTATCATATGAGAGAGAGAGAGAGCACCAATACCTTATTTTCACACACAATGTTTGATCAAAATTATCCCATATTGAAGTTATAGAGAAGATTTGATTGGCATAAATTGTTTGTGGTGGCTGCTTCTTAATGCGCGTGCGTTAGCAAGCGTCTAACTATGTACCTCATGTTGAGATCCTGTGAGTGACGTGTTATGAACCCTATGACTTTACGGGCAACAAATATGCCCCCAACGTTTAAAAAAAATTCCAGAGCTTACCCTTACTGGTTGAAATCGCCCCAACTTTTAGTTGTTGAAATCACTCTTACCCTTACTAGTTGAAATAACGTTTAGTTGTTGAAATCGCTCTTACCCTTACTGGTTGAAATCGCCCCAACTTTTAGTTGTTGAAATCGCCCCAACTTTTAGTTGTTGAAATCGCCCGGTTCGCCTCGCCCGATTTTTGGTTATAAGTGAGAATCAACACGGAATGACCAATTCCCAAGTCGAATTAGCCGATTCCGCTAATTTTAACCATTTATAGAATTTAAAATTTTATAATTAGATATAAAAATAGATTTTGAGATAATCCTAAGAATATTTTAGGCCATAATTACATTGGAGGCGCACCTTAATTGGATTGTTTAAGGTTGCAACTTTAAACAACTCCCCTATTCAATCGATCGCGACCTTAAACAACCCAATTAAGGTGCACCTCCAAATTTTATCATAACATGTAATTATGGAGTAAAAAATTATTAGGATTATCTAAAAAATTATTTTTATATCTAATTATAAAATTTTAAATTTCAAAAAATGGTTAAAATCAAGTAGATTTGTATACATATAAAATTTTTGAAAATGGACTGTCCAGATAATGTGTTGCAAGACACATTATTTCACGGACTCGAAATCTGTTTTTCTTTTCATATTCATGTATCTCAATGTCGAGATGATCAATTAAAGTGCTATCCGACATCAAAATAGCTTTTTCTAATAGATTTTAATACACACTTTAATTCTACTATTTAAGGTTGCAACCTTATATTTAAATTTTTTTTATATTATTTATTACTTATCTTTAAAAGGGTTTTTAGATAAAAAATTTCTTTAAAACAATGACTTTTTTGCATGTTCCCTGCCTCCTAGTTTTGAGGATCACTTTTCATAGATTTTAAGAATGAAAGTCGAATGTTGGAGTACAGCCTTGCCCTATTTCTATATAAAAGAGGGTTTCATGTTCTCGCATGAGAAAACACATTAAGAAATAGGGGTGAGAATTTTCTGGATCGGATCTAGATGATCCAAATCTGAATAGTATGCATCTAATATGGATCCAAATCTAATCGGATTCAAATGAATTCAAAATTATGTAAAGGATCCAGATCCGAATTTACTTCTACAGTGCTCCTCCTCTATCCATCAAAACCTGCAATTGGCAACTTTTTTTTAGCTTCTCTCTCTCAAAGAAATGAGGCTCCTCCTCTGTCCATCGAAACCGGCAATCAACAATCTCTTTGAAGTTCTCTGAGGAAAAAGCATCAATAGAACAATCTCCTTGAAGAAATAGATCAAAAAATTTAGACGAACAAAGAAGATCATGTATTGAAAACTAAGAAAATAAGAACAAAGACATCTATTTTTTTTCCCCAAAAAATGAAAAGAGTTTCAAAAGATCAAAGTTGAATACTCAAAAAACTCAAACTTAGTTAAGACTTTCTCAAAAAAGATTAAAAAATAAAAAAATCTTTAAGTGAATCCAAAAACCCAAATCCAGTTATGAAATCCAAATCGGATTTTAGATCTGAATTGCGTGAATTGTGAACCCTACTAAGAAACTTGTTCTTAATCATTCTAGAGAAACCCTAGGCTCTTTGCAATATACAATGGTTCTCTACAATATACAATCCAATAATATTGGCATTGATATCTAGGATTTTTACGAGTTCTTCATCATCTTTTCCCAACAATGGTATCAGAGCAAGATTATCGTCAATATACTGCTGTAATTTTCGATTCTGTATTTTGTGCTCTCTACAATCTTCTAAGCAGTGAGTTCCTTCACTACTCATATTCTGTTTATTGGTTGTTATCTCTTTTGATGGACAAATTACCCATCATTGCCCTCTCATCATCGTCATAAAACATCCTCATAGTGGATTTTACTACATTCTTGTGAAATTCACTGCATTGAAACTACATTTCTCGATACTATTTGAAGGTGCATTTTATTTTGATTGTTTAGAGCCTTGGCTCTATATATAAACCACACCTTTCTTTAAAATAGTCACTTTTTGCATGATCTCTAGCTCTCAAATTTTGAGAGCTAATTCTCCAATATTCTAGAAAAGAAACTTGAACGTTAGAGAATAGCCTCCCCATATCTCTCTATAAAACAAGGTTCATGACCATGAGAAAACATACTGACCATGAGAAAACACACTGAGAAACTTGTTCTCAATTATTCTGGAGTAGCCTGTTCTCAATACGATATACAATCCAATGACATTGCCATCAAAATCTGGGATTTTTCGCAAGCTCTTCATCATCTCTTCCCAATATTAAATTCTTATTGCAACAAACTCTGTATATTGTGTAGTTTGCTTTTGCGGTTGCATATTGTGTATTTACTCCCTGAGATAGAAGACTAACTTACGAAGATTTTTCTAATACAAAATTTTGGGAACATGGTTATATTCAAAACAAATATTATGAATTTTGAGTTTTCTAACACTTACATCTCACCCTTCAAACTTTTGATGTTTGTTATTCAAGCTTAAGACATTTTCTTTTTTAGGCCCTTAGAGAATGCCAGATAGAAATTTTCTTTATTGAATAAAGCATATGGGTTGAAGAGGTTATGTCGACAAATTTCAGGTCCAAAAAACACTACTAAATTGGATTTTTGTCTCAAGGAGTAAATAGATAGTATGCTTGCTCAGGAGCATACAATCTTTTGGCTTGCTTAAATAAAAGGAAAAAATGCGAACTATTTTCTAGATAAAATGTCAATTATATTTAAATGTTAAACACCATAGAAAAGCATTAAGGAGCGAAGGCAATTAACTTATCTCATGTAGTGGTGTTGAAAATTAAAACTACATATTTTTAATTTGGGCAATGATTTTATGTAACCGTTGTATGGTAATATAATGCAACAATATTAAAAAACCATTTTTTGGCCATTTCT